TTTTTTTTTTTTTTTGCATCCTTTCCTGGTTTTGGTATCAGGGTTATGTTCGCTTCATAAAATGTGTTGGGGATGAGTCCATCCTTCTTGATGTTGTGGAATAATTTCTGCAGGATAGGTATGAGTTCTTCCTTGTAGGTGTGGTAAAATTCGGATGTGAAACCATGTGGTCCAGGACTTTTCTTTTTAGGAAGGCTTTTTTGCTGTTTCAATTTCAGTATTTGATATTTGTCTGTTCAGGAATTCTATTTCTTCCTGGTTGAGCATAGGGAGGCTGTGTGTTTCTAAGAAATTGTCCATTTCCTCCACATTTTCCAGTTTGTGTTCATAGAGGTTTTTGTAGTATTCATGAATTATGTCTTGTATTTCCGTGGCGTCCATTGTAATATCTCCTTTATTGTTCCTGATGGAGCCTATTGGAGATTTTTCTTTTCTGCTTTTCGTAAGTCTAGCCAAAGGTGTTTCAATTTTTTTATTTTTTCAAAGAACCAACTTTTTGTTTTGTTAATCTTCTGCATGGTTACCCTGTTGTCAGTTTCATTTAGGTCTGATTTGATATTAATGATTTCACTTTTTCTGCTGGGTTTAAGGTTAGTCTGTTCTTTTTCTAGCTCTTTGAGAAGATTTATTGGGTTGTCTATTTGTGATCTTTTCGACTTTTGGATATAGGCATTTATAGAAATACACTTTCCTCTCAGGACTGCTTTAGCTGTGTTCCACAGGTTTTGATAACTTGTGTCTCCTATGTCATTTAGTTCAAAGAATCTTTTGATTTCCATCTTGATTTCCTTGTTTATGATGTGGTCATTTAGCAGAAGGTTGTTTGGTTTCCATGACTTTGTGTAGAAATGAGAGTTCCTGTTAGGATTGATTTCTACTTTTATTCCATTGTGATCTGAAAAGATACATGGTATAATTCTATTTTTTTGAAGTGATTGAGACATGCTGTGTGTCTTAGGATATGGTCAATCTTAGAGAATGACCCATGAGCTGATGAGAAGAACATATATTCAGTGGTTTTGTGATAGAATGTCCTGTAAATGTCAGGCTTATTTTTTTTTTTTTAGAGTTCCGCTTGAGTCCATTGTTTCTTGGTTGATTTTTTGTTTGGAGGATCTGTCTTGTGCTGTCATTGGGGTATTAAAGTCTCCAACTGTTATGGTGTTGTTGTTTATCCATTTGTTTAGATCAAGTAGAGTTTGCTTTATGAATCTGGGTGCACCTAGATTGGGTGCATATATATTTAGAATTGTTATGTCTTCTTGAACTGTACACTTCACCATTATATAGTGACCTTCTTTGTCTTTTATTACTTTTGTTGATTTAAAAACTAAGTTATCTGTAATCAGCTCCACCATTCCAGCTTTCCTTTGGCTTCCGTTTGCTTGAAATATTGTTCTCCACCCCTTTACTTTTTGTCTATATGCATCCTTGCAAGTTAGATGTGTTTCCTGAAGGCAGCAGACACTTGGCTTGTATTTTTTATCCATTCAGCCAGCCTATGTCTCTTGAGTGGGGAGTTCAAGCCATTCACATTTATTGGATAACTGAAAGGTGGGGCAAATTTCTGGTCATTATGTTGGGTTCAACTTTGTTGCTTTTTTTTCTCTCTTGAGCCATTGTGGTTTCTGGGCTTTGATCTTTAGCTTTTGAGTAGATTTACATTCGTGACTGTTTATTGTGCTGGTCCATGGGTAACACTGTTTTGAGTACTTCCTGAAGGGCTGGTGTTGTCTTGGTGAATTCTCTCAGTCTTTGCTTATCTGAGAATGTCTTGGTTTCTCCTTCATATTGAAGGGAATAAGATTCTAGGCTGGGCATTATTCTGTTTCAGAAGAGTGAGAATGGGGCCCCAGTTTCTCCTTGCTTGTAAAGTTTCAGTAGAGAAGTCTGGCGTTATTCAGATTGGCTTTCCTTGGTATGTGACTTGCTTCTTTCA